AAATATCCTCTCTTACTACTTCCCAACAGATCGGGAAACCATCGGGCCCAGGTGCTCTATCTCCATCCATATCAAAGATTGCTTCTCTTATTTCTTGCTCTTCAAATTCCCTTTCAAGCCAAATTCTCTTGTCTTCTGCTAGAGTTGGCCCTTCCTAGTTTCTTAAATTAAAACTCTTAGCCCTTTCCTTGGAGTAAAGAGATTTGAAATGGTTTAGAAAAGTTTCAGTGATCTCTTATGCTTCTTTCACTTCCCTCTGGTCCACTTTAATTTTTGAGATGAGATTCTTTCTGCGCCTACCCGATGCATAGCTATGGAAGAATTTTGTATTGTTGTCTCCTTCCTTTAACCATCTGACCCTTGACCTTTGCCTCCAAAAGATTTCTTCTTTTCGGATTACCTTTTCCCACGAACTCCTTAGAGTATCTCTCTTGCTTCTTCCTTCTCCGTCCAGATCTCCTAATTGCTCTTTCTTATCTAACTCTTCCAGCTCCATGAGGATGGCACTTTTTTCTTCTGTGAATGATTTGAACTCTTCTCTCCTCGAGGACTTCAGTTTTCTTTCCAGGAATTTCAGCTTTTGCAGCAATCTGTACCCTGCCCAGCCTTCCACTTTGCATTCCTTCCACTTTGCATTCCTTCCACCATAAAGATACATTTTTCAGGAAATCTTTATGATGGGTCCACATCTTCTCCAGTCTGAATGGATGTTTACCTTTCAAAACCAGGTCTGTTCTCAAAACTGGAGACCAGTGGTCTGAAGTGCAGCGAGGTCTAATTTCTTGGAGGAGATTTGGAAATTTTTCTGCCCAGTCTGCGGAAACCAGAAACCTATCTAATCTGCAGCTTATTGGATTCTCTTGAAGGTTTGACCAAGTGAACTAACCATTATGGAGAGGAAGGTCGCAAAGGTTGTGCCTCAAGATAAAACTGGAGAGTCCTCTCATGCTTCTGGTTCTTGATCTTCTGTTGGAATTTTCTTGAGGAAACCTTGTTACGTTAAAATCACCTCTTAGAACCCAAGGGGTTTCGTCAAACTCATGAAGAGCATCCAATTCTTCCCAAAAGCTTTGTTTGTTTGAAGGTGCATTAAGTCCATATACTCCAGTCAAAATCCAACTAAAACTGGAGTTGCACAGTTGGTATTGTCCAAATGTCTTTTCCAATAATAAATAATCTAACATATGCTCCTTGGGGGGAACACAACCCTTTCTGACTTGGGAATGTTATTGGGACAACCATGGGAATATCATCTTTTGTTTCCTGGACCCTATTGTTATGGTGATCTTAACTTCTCAAACTCTTGAGCAGATTTATGTTTGCTCAAGTTCACTTGCCATAGTAGTCAAAATCTTATGATTGATGATACAATTCATACACTAATCATCATAGTTGTCAAGGCGACACCTAGGCAACAAGGTGCCCTTGGGGGCTCGCCTCACCCAGTCACCAAGTAGTTTTGTATACTGTCTTATAAAATACTTTTGTATTGTTATTTTTTGAGATTATAATTATAAAATAGACATTTTTTATAATTTTATAAAATAGACATTATTAAACAAAAATATTCATTTTTTGTGTTTATAAACCAGTGTTTTAAAAGCGCAAGGGCCAGTTTGCGCTTGAGATGCAAGGCAAGGTGCGTGCCTTTTTAAGAAAGGCGCAAAATTACAAAAAAAAAAAAGCTAAAAACTAAAAAAAGTCAGAAAATTCTAAAAAAATGCTAAAGTTTTTTTTTAAATGCAAAAAATTTAAAAAATATTAAACATAATGTTAATAAAAATATAAACTTAAATTTGAAAATAAATGATTTAAAAAACCTATTATCTAAAATTAAAATACATAAATCATTCATCAAAAAAAAATTAAAATACATAAACACAACATGTAAAGTGTATTCAAATGAAAATTTAAAAATAAAAGCAAACATATAAAGCATTTTCAAGCATGTAAAACCCACAATCTCTTTTTTTCCCTAATTGCATTGCTTCAAGTAGTTAATGTGATGTAAAACATATTGCATTCTTGATTCTATGAGTCGCCTTTGTAGCACACCCCTCGAGGCAAGCTCGAACAAGTCTATATTAGGGTCTGAAATTCTTACTTCTCACATAAAAAATAATGATTTTACAACTTTCATTGCCTTTTAAAAAGATATTTTATTGCAATGAATGAATGAACAACATAAGCAAATAGGGGGTTCTCGGAGCTCCAGTGTGAGAAGTAAGAATTTCAGACCCTAACATAGACTTGTTCGGGCTTACCTCGAGGGGCGTGGTCAGGGGTCGGGGGCAGAGCCCCCAAACCAGTCGTTAGACTAAAAAAAAAAGCAAAAAGCGTAAAATTTTAAAAAGGTGCACGCCTGGGCTAAGGCGCAAGGAACATCAGGTGCACGCCTAAGCGCACCAGGCGCGCGCCTTTTGAAAGAGGTGCGCCTAGGACCTGGGTGAGGTGCATACCCCAAAATGCGCCTCGCCTGTGCGCCTAAGGCGCACCTTTTAAATCACTGTTATAAACTAATATCTTTTTTATTATTTTCTTATTTGTTAGGGTTTATTCAACACAAACATTGCTAACTACTATCATCAAAAACTTCAAAATTTGAACCAATAAGGGAAGAACTTCAAAATTTTGTCTACTTCTTCCACCTTTTCTTTTCTTCTTTTCCTATAACAAAAAAGGGTTCATCCCTATATTTTTTGAATTTTCTTTTCTTTCTTCTTTTTCTTCTCATAAATATGTTGACTTTCTAGACTTAAACATGAAGTTTATAATTTTCTTATGAAAATTATGGATAGCCAATAAGGAAAGATGGTTATGGAACCTAGGGAACTACCCTAGGATATGTGGTTGTTACTTAAAAAAATCCATCACGTAGACGACGCCTAGGCAACTAGGCAACAAGGCACCCCATATCACCTAGCCTCGCCTTGGTGCCTTGAAAACTATGTTAATCATGAATCCCAATGGTTACAATTCAAATCTTATTTTCAATTTGATTCATGAATCTTATGAATTAACCAACTAGAGCTATTTGAATCAATTTCACCGAGACTTGGTTGTAATTTGCCATCTTTTTTAAGGGGCATTTGCTTTAAAACCCTTAGTAGAATAAGAATGAATTAGGGCCATTTCTTGGTAAGAAGGTAAAATCTCCAACTAACAAGCATGAGGTGGGTTGTTAAAAATGCTGGAGATTAGGACCAAGCATTGAATAATAGCATGTTTTATTAGAATAAGACTCCATTATTTAAACTTAAAAACCCTTCTTAGTTTGTTTCCATTATGAGATAAAGAACCATTATTTTGTGGGTTTATTGATTTTGAAGCATTTAAAATGTCCCTGATTTCCCTAATATATTCCACGGCATATTTCCATTTCCATGGGTAGCAACACGAAATTTTACCGGAATCAACATCTTTCCGAACACTACTAGTCTACTAGCAGTCTAGCACTATGTGGAGTACAAGAGATAGTTTCTACAACATATTTTCCATTTCCACTTCCATGGGTAGTGACATGAAATTTTACTAGAATCAACATATTCCCCAATGAACACTACCAGCATCATGTAGAGTACAAGAGATGGTATTATAACATTAGCTGGTGCCAATATTGTAGATATGTAGAGTAACAATGGTATTGCCCGCCTAACTTACATGATTACCACTTTTTTTTATCAATATACATGATTACCACTTTGAGCTAGCTCAATATTCATTTCAAATGTAAAGCTAAATATTAGTTTCTTTTTATGTAATAGTTTATTTGGTTGTTCTGTTACAAACATTTACGTTTTCTATGAGTTTAATTTTGCTTTAACTCATTCCAACATGAAGCTCTGAACCTTAAGGTTTACAAGGCAACTTTAGAATGTATTGTTTTGTATATAACCTTGGTTTCTTAGCCATAGTTGTCAAGGAGTCACCTAGGTGACTAGGCACCCTTGGCTGGGCGCCTCTCCCAAATACCTTGATTTGAGCAACTAGGTACCCACCTAGGTGACTAAGCCCCGCCTAGGTGACAAAAATGACAAAGTGGATGCCTTACATAATATCATTTATATTGTTGCATCTTATTAATGTGTGTGTTAATACATTTTATTATATATATATATATATACATACTTTGTTTGAATGTTTTACTATTCAAATTTAAAAGATCAAAGGGTTTTGAGAAGAAAAAAAAAGAAAGAATGAAAGAGAAAGCAAGAAAGAAAGAGGTTCTTTTTTTTTCTATTCTCTCTCTCTAATTAAATAAAACAGAAATCCCATCCTTGTTTTTTCTATTTTTACTTTCCACCTTGAATATTTATCATATAAAGTTAATAACCTTCTTTAGTTGCTAATTCATATGAACTTGATCTATTAAATACTTATTATGGTAGTATTATTTTTGAAAATAATGAAATTAATATAGGTAAAAGATTTTTATCTTTTAGATGTGATGATTTGCCACATTTTTAGAAGAAATTTAATGTTCTTAATAAAGAGAATTGCTATTTTTTCAATTAATGAATTAATATAATGCTGAATGGAATATAAAACTAGGGAACTAGCTAAAAGAAAGTTCTTTATATTATAAAATAATTTAAAAAGGTGTGCCTATGCTTCTTTCATCATTTCATAAAATATCATTCTATATTTTTGCATATTTTAAATGATTCCACCATGTCTATAATTCTTATAAAATTTCCATACGATATTTCCTACATTTTTGACATGTTTCTTATATTTGGACAACCGACATTTCCACCAACACCAATGTTTTAAACCTTGTTTTGAAGTTAAATTTGATTATCTAACCATACCTTTTCTTCAAAAGTGCTGAAGTTTGGAGCATAAATTATTTATATACTAATAGAAAAAATAATTCATAGAACACAATAAAAACTAAAAAGAAAAACTTCATCCAATGTCTCATAGATTACAGCAGATAGAAAAGGAATCCTAAAAAACATAGAATGGTTTTTAAACACAAAATATCTAGAGGAACATACCCAGGAATTGAATTGCATCATCAAAGGGTAAGCTTTTCTCATCTTGAAGGCAGTGATAAGTAAAAGAGTTCTTGTAGAGATTTTGGCAAGCAGGTACAGTCTGCATATTCACAGAATCAGTACAGAAATAGTATGTAAAGAGGGCTTAATACAATTTCCTGGATACTCATCCAAGGGAAAAAAGAATAAAGAAAGTAAAAAGACCAAGTATGTTAAGGTTTTCAGTTTTCCTGAAGAGAGTCAATGGTAGGTATAACAGTCTTTTACAGGGCTTAAACTTTAGCCACTGGGATAGAATCAATAGGGATGAAGACTTTACTGTATGATCTATATTTTGTTATCTTTTTTGTTTTGGTTCAGTGATTAATCTCGGTGGTATGTATTAAGGGAACCTCTCCCTTAGATAATCTTTTCCATTATGATGAAATTTCATTTTCACCTTTCAAAAAAAATACCAAATACAGCATGGAGAAGGTGTCAGACACTGAATTTAGTCTAAAAAAGTAAAGTATCTGAAATGGACATAGAACCTATCTTTAAGATAAGAAAGTATTGACTAAGTTGACTAACAACTAATCAACTTACTCAACTACAATATGGGCTTCTCCATCATAGTATTTAAAATAGAAACAAGATTCTCCCTGATAAACAATGGTTGCCGCTCTCTTATCTCAGAACATTCAGCCTCTATTTTATGGTTGTAAAACAGGGATCTATGCTAAATGCTCTGTATTATGTCTTCAGTCTTTCCAATAAGAAAAAAATGCATATATTAATAACATAAATGCTATTTTTTTTGGTAAACTAATCAGCAGGCACCAATCAGTGAATGCATCCCAGGGAGGCCAAACAACTAGTCATTGCATCCATCACATTGCCAGTGCTATAGCAAAAGTTGGAGGCAACTGTGCAAAGGGTTTCTATTTTTGGCTTTTGCAGGAAGTTCAAATTAAAAATATGCATCCAGATTGTTGCAATATTTCCTTTAAATGGTTGAGGCGCCCTCAGTCCTAGCTTCAAACAACCAAACCATCCCACAAACTCTATGCTACATTTAATAGCTATTTCACTTCACAATCAAATGCTTGAGATTTTTGGGACCAGTAGGTTTCTAATTAATTTAGTGAGAAGCAATTGGGAAAAAAAATGACCAAGCACACAATGTAGCGGAAAAGTATTAAGTGAAGATGCCATCTGACTCCAAAGTTGAAATTCAATTTATAACAAAATGGACATCCTTAAGGAATCAAGTAATCAAGAAGGGGCACCACCTCTCTTACCTCAATGTCTTTAAGATATTGTAACTAATTAGGAAATCAATTTAAGGGTCCAATGCCACCTAAATCAGGGCTTTTTTTTGGGAGCATCAGGGACTTTTTTTTTTCTTTTCTTTGTTTGGTTGCAGGTTAACTCCTCCAAGAGAGGCGGGCAATCCCTTCAGCACACCCTGCTCTCCAACTAACAAAATGGACATCCTTAAGGAATCAAGTAATCAAGAAGGGGCACCACCTCTCTTACCTCAATGTCTTTAAGATATTGTAACTAACTAGGAAATCAATTTAAGGGTACAATGCCACCTAAATCAGGGCTTTTTTTTGGGAGCATCAGGGAGTTTTTTTTTTTTTCTTTTCTTTGTTTGGTTGCAGGTTAACTCCTCCAAGAGAGGCGGGCAATCTCTTCAGCACACCCTGCTCTCCAACTAAAAAGAGGCAAAATTCTACACAGATGTACAAATGGATACAATCCATTGGAGTATTTGGGAGGAGTGCTAGAATTTTCAAACAGATCCAAAGCAAAGTGGCCTTAATTGAAACCATCACCATCACAATCCAGTAAAATTCACGGAAGTCTTTGCTTTTCTCCACTAATGACATTATTGGAAATGGTGTGTCAGTAGCAGCATCGTCTTCAGAAAGATCTTGTCAAAATCTTCCTTGGACCCCTCCAATTTCTAATATCATCAAACTGAACTTCAACGGATGTGATTTGGAAACCCTGGAAGCTCAGAAATTGAGTTAGCTTTTAGAAATTGTTAAGGAGTCACTCCCTTCGATTCCTGAGAGGCCCGGATTGCCTACACTACTGCCATCAAAGTTTAATTTCATCCAACCACCCATTGGAAGTGACCACACCTCTAGGGATTTTTGTATCCTAGAGGAGCTATTGCCCCCCAATTCCTGAAGAAATCTTCCACCTTAAAGTCTGAAAAGAGTTTTAAGGTCATCACCCAATGTGCCACTATTAGAGTTATGAGATTCAACTTGGGCCGAGGCTGAGACTGGAAATGGAGATTCAACTTGGACTGAAACAATGACAGTCCAACGGCATGGGCTGGGCCAATACAAAGGGGTGCTTGGCATGTATTTTTATCTACACCATACCTGCCATGTATGAGATGTGCGGATGAGATCATGTTGGTAGAGGATTGGAGCGTGCTTTGTTGGCAGGTGATCTGGACTTAAAAGAATTAGCACATCTTTTAACCCACTGCAGTCTCACTCCCTATACCCTGAGTCAGCCACTTAAATTTCCTTCTTTCATTAATGTAGCTCCACAAACAGTCATCCTCGGAGGATCCTCCTCTAGCCAGCCTATCACCAATTGTGAATCACCTTCAATGATCAACCTGCTAATGTTCGATTCCCTAGACCTTTTTGCACCCTCCAATAACAGCCAAAATCTCAGCTCGAAGTGAGTCCCCCACACCAATTGGGCCTGAGAACAACGCAATAATTCCAGCTTCCTCATTCCTGAAACTCCTCCAACACCTTAAGGGCTGGGGTTTTCTTCACTACTACCATCAAAGTTCAACTTAGTGAAACCATAAACTAGTGGTGTCCACATTGGATAGGGCACAACTTTGCTAAGGGCTGAAGATACCACTTCCTTCCAATTATTCAAGGCTGCTGTAAAAATACCATCAAATAAATCCATAGATTTCACCCACTGAACCACTCTCGCAATGATTATTTCAATAATTTCCCCTCTACTCCTCTCGTTTTCAACAAATATTCTTTGGTTCCTTTCCTCCCACACAATCCAATAAATTGCAGCTCTTGTGCATCTCCACAACACTCTTCCCCTCTTCTTAGTCCAGCTAACAGCAGAAGAGTTGAACAGGCTTTGTAATTTGGCAGAGGAATCCACATGCAACCAAACAAAGAGAGAAGCCAATCCCAAATAGACAAAACAATGGGGCAAGAGATTAATAAGCGAATAGCAAGATTCACCATTAGCTTTACAAAGAATACTCCAGTTAGGGTATAAGCACCAAAAAGGCTTCTTTCCTTGAAGTAGGTCATAGGCGTTGATCCTTCTCAAGAAAACTTTCCGGCAAAAGGCCCCAATCCTAGGGGGGATCAATTTACCCAAAACCTCCTTAGTAAGAAATGGTTGCCCAAGACTATTAGAGGGTTTTGCTAAAGCTTTGAAGAAATAGGCACATGTAAAAGTACCGGAAGAGGAAAGGGTCCAAATACGGGAGTCCAATTTTGAAGGATCCAAGAAGATCCCTTGTAAAAGCTCAAGTAGTGCCAGGGCATTGTCCATATTTGAATCTCTGGATGGCCTCCTAAAACCCAAGTCCCATTCAAACTCAAAACGCACTTCAGATAGATTCAAGAAGGTAGACAAAAGCTCATCTTTATAATTAGTGATGGAAAATAAGGAAACTATTCTTTTAGTGGCAAATTCCCCACCCAAAACTTTATGAGATTTCTAGAGCAAAGATTGTACTTGATAAAATATAGGAAGGATGGTAGGATGGCATGTATTTTTTTATCAGCAAAAAAACTAATAATTTTATTAAAATGAACTAAATTTTGAAATTACAATAAGTCCAATCAAACCGCACAAAGTACAAAAGTTACAATTGCGCCCAAAACAATTGTTGCCTATTTACCCCTTGTTTTGCAAGAGTATCAGCCATCCCATTCGCGGTCCTTCTTACCCAATTGAAAGTAATGTTCAGCTCCTATTTTATGCTTTCAATTTCCCTAAAATTATGCCTATATATCCATGGCATAAGCTAAATATTCTTTGCCCAAGAGATGATAAGCTTTGAAATTTGAATCACCCTCTACTTCCAACTGTTGAAAGCTTGTTTGTTTGGAAAGTCTTAAGCCTTGAAGTAGTGCCATCAATTCTGCCTTTAATGAGTCTCCCAACCCCAAAGGACCTGAATACATAGCCAAAACTTTCCCTATGCAACCTCTAAAAACTCCTCCAATACCTGCCATATCAGTGTTTCCTATGAAACTCCCATCAAAATTCAATTTTATTTTATTTGTTGCTGGGGGTGACCATATCATAAACCTCTTTTCCTTTTCTCTTGAGGAGGCAGCTACTTCAGACCATGCCCTTATGATGTCATTAACTGAGAAATCTTTCAATGCATCAATTGTCTTTATCCAGTGAGCTGCTCCAATTAGAATAACTTCACATAATTCCTCCTTTGATCTGCTTTTCTCATTAAAAATTCTTTCATTTCTTTCAAACAGTCCATACTACTCCAGCCAGAATTGCTTTCCACATAGTTCCTCCCCTCTTTCTTGGTTGTCTTAAGAAGCTTAGGCTGAATAGCACACTCCTGTGGAGATATCCACCTGCAGCCAAAAAGAGAAAAACAGAATTCCCAAATACCAAGAACAAGACAGCAAGACAGCAATAAATGAGATAGGGTTTCACCATTTGCACGGAAAAGGAAGCATATATGGGGTGAGAGGCTAACATTTGGCCTTCTTTTCTGAAGCAAATCATAGGTATTTATCTTTCCAAGACAAACTTCCCAACACAAAGCTTGGATTTTAGGTGGGATAGGCTTGCTCCAAACTTCTTTCATAGGAAAGTTCCCCAAGTTATTGGACTGCAAGAGAGCATTAAGGAAGCACAAGTGAAAATACCATTAGGGGTACAAGACCAAATTCTAGTGTCTTCCCTTGACTGATCAAAGAAAGTTTGGTGTAGTTTACACAGTAATTGGATGGGTACCTCACATTCATTGTCCCACAAACCCCTTCTAAACCTGAAATCCTAGTTAATCCTGAAGTAGTCAAGGAAACAAATCTCGAGACAGGTTGTTGTTTATAGTTTGACAAGGAA